TAGTCGCTAGGAGTTTTTCGGGAGTTTTCGGGGGTTTTTAGGAGTTTTAGTAGTGACGTGGGTGGTATCGCAACGCGTCTCGAAATCGTGACGCCCTAGACTACTAAAGACCATGTTCTTGACTTTAATGGTGTATATTGCCAACTCTAGCTTAAAATAGCATTTACTAATGTACAGAGGGAGAATTAGAAAGCAAAGATCTATAATTTGAGTCCGCCACAGCTTCAGAACTAATGGTGTTGATGATATTTTGATAAAATCGCAAGACTACTTGTTGAAATTCCAGTCGAGCCGGCCAAAGGTGGAACCAAAACTCTTCGGACGCTTCGCAGACCGGCGCGCACTCACCTTTTACGTAATCAGCGCCCCATTGGCTCAGGAGTATCAAGCGCGGCGCTAAAACCAGGCTGCGAAGCGTCTGATTCATGAGATAATCTAGATCAATATAAGAATAAAATGAACTCACTACCTATTAGCTTATATAGCCTAAAGCCTATATAAGAAGAAATTTTAAACAATTTTAAAACTTATTTGTAACTTAAAATGGTTAACGTGGTTCATAAGCGAGTCGGTCACCCAAGCAAGTCGGTCACTCCCCACCAGCGCGTTAACGTTGATACTACAACGCGTCATGTCTTAACAACACAACTATTAATTAACTTATCCTAAATTAGATCTTTAACTTGCTCTTTTTAATATCTAATTACAACGTGTTTAAAGCTAAAGACGCGCTGCCTCTATCTATAACGTGCCTTAAAGTACAATATCTAATTGACAGGCTGGAAAGCGCCCCTAACGCGACTATAAACTAAATTCAAAGCGCCTAAATAAGTTAGAAGAGGAGGCTATGATTAGACGTATTTTTAAAGAGTCTGCGCGTGGATTTGCCCCTACAAAGGCTGAGGTTCGAGCAATAGCCAATAAACTGTTAGAGGAGCGTGGTGGCAACCCTATTGGCAAGAATTGGGTTGACAACTTTGTTAGGCGGACTGCTGAGCTCCGTACGCGCTAGAGCCGTCCCTATGATCACCAGCGAGCCGCCTGCGAGGACCTAGTAGCTATCCAGCGCTGGTTTGACTTAGTCTAGGCGACAAGGCAGAAGTGGGGTATCGTGGACAACGATATCTACAACTTTAACGAAACTAGCTTTATAATAGGCAAGATTTTATTATAGTTATTAATCACAGCATTAGAAGGATATAGGAAAAAGAAGCGGATACAGCTAGGCAACCGTGAGTGGGTTACCGTGATCTAAGGCGTGGGCGCGTTAGGTCGCTAGATACCACTATTCGTTATCTTTGCGGGCAAGGTGCTTATTAACGTCTAGTTTAAGAATTTGCCTACTAACTAGGTTCTTAAAGTTAGTCCCAATAGCTAGACGAATAATTAGCTTAGTCTTGCCTAGTTAGAGCACTTTAATACCCATACAAAGAGCTCTACTATGGGTGGGTATTTACTACTTATTATTGACGGCCATGAGAGCCACTGCTCTATCGAATTTCAAGATCTTTGCAAGGAGAAGAATATTATTCTTCTCTGCATGCCTCCACACTCGTCTTACTTATTGCAGCCCCTTAACGTCGCCTGCTTCTCGCCATTAAAGCGCAAGTATGGCGACGCTATTTTAGGCTTAGCACGCAACTGCACCCACTATATCAGCAAGAAGACCTTCCTACTAGCCTT